TACTACCTAGCCCAGAACATAGGCCTGACTGGAATGAAACTGGAGAACCCAGCAGACCCGCAGATGATGATCAATCCATTCCAGCTTGATCCAGCAACAGCTGCAGCTTTGGCACCAGGACTTGGTCAGTATCTCTTTGTCTTCTTGTGTTAGCTTGTCACTTAGAAGGACCAGCACTCCAGCTAACGATGAAAACCTGTTGTTCTGCTCGTCATCTTGGATTGAGCTTTGCCTGTAAAAACTAAATTAGCCACATTCTAGGGAATAGTTGCAGGAGTGACAGGAGCATTGCAAATTCAAGGAGGAAGTGGCAAAGGAACTTTACCTGCCCAGACACGTGCTGCTTTGGCCCCCTGGCCATGCTTGCATCCTTGCAATCCTCCACCCCCTCCTCCACCCTTGTGTGCAGGGTCCACAGGTAGAGAACAAAATTAATTGATTATGTAACAAGGTGCTATCAAACTAACAAACTGGAAAAGATAAAGGCAGCTCTGTTTTCTGCAGTTTTTAATTATCTGAACAGGTCAAAAAACAGGAATGCAGTCTTTTCTTTCTTACCTGACAATGCGCCTTTATAGTTAGCAAATGGTCTGTATTCCAAGTGTAAGAGGAGGGCAAATTGGAATCAAATGCTCATGTATGAGGAGTGTACTGTCAATCTGCTACCTAATGGTGCAGATTTGGACTAAAAAAGACTTCTCAAACTTTGTTCAGTTCTAATGTTGCCTTTTTGTCATACCTAAAAGCTCCCAGTGTTGTTTACTGGCTGTATTTTAAAGTTAGGGATGCTGAGATCTGATGCCAAAAGTAGCTAAATTAGTACAGATATGCTTATCCTAATTAGTATATTGTAGATATATATATATTGACCAACCTCCAGCATCATTTAAGGGGTATAACAAAACTACAATTAGTGTTGTATAAGTTAATCTAGGCTTTTAACTTACAAAAGCATTGCTGTTTTGTTATTTTATTGATCAACTTTCATGCCTTTGAAAATACAAATTCCAGAATGACATCATGCCCAGTAGGAGTAATTAAAGCTATCTGATGAGGGAATTTAGAAGTTGAAAGGGATGATTGTAATTGATCCTGATTCAATCCTATTACAGCTTTTTATAGTTTAAGCTCTAGAGAAAGCAAACTCCTTGTCAAGGCTTTATTTTACGGATTCCTTTGTGTGTGCTATGCTTGCTGGTCTCTACTTTCCCTTTTAATTTTTTTTTATTTTTTTTTTTCCTGTAGTAAATAATGAGCTGCCGCCTGAAATCCGGCTTGCCAGTGGTCAGCTAATGGGTGATGACCTGTCCCTCCTTACTGCAGGAGAGCTGTCACCTTATATCAGTGACCCAGCACTGAAGCTATTCCAGTGTGCTGTTTGCAACAAATTCACCTCTGACAGCCTGGAGGCCCTGAATGTGCATGTGAGCAGTGAACGCTCGCTCCCTGAAGAGGAGTGGAGGGCTGTAATTGGAGACATCTACCAGTGCAAGCTCTGTAACTACAACACTCAGCTCAAAGCGAACTTCCAGCTCCACTGCAAGACTGACAAACATATGCAGAAATATCAACTGGTGGCTCACATCAAAGAAGGGGGCAAAACTAACGAGTGGAGGCTGAAGTGTATTGCCATTGGCAACCCAGTTCACCTAAAATGTAACGCCTGTGACTACTACACTAACAGCGTGGATAAACTGCGCTTGCATACTACCAATCACAGGCATGAGGCAGCCCTGAAACTGTACAAGGTAAGCCAGTGACAGTAATTTCAGTCAGCACCAAGTAGACTAGGAAATGAACTGTTTCACTGCTAATCCAACAAGACTTTGATTAATCAGCAGAATAAATGTTTACTGAACACGTGGTTAATCGAACAAAACTATGTGGGCTGCTCAGGAAGGAGTTGTGTTGATTCACCTGGGGGCCTGTTTAGGATGCACTTACTGAGGACATAGGGAATATAAGTTGTTTCTTCAAGTTCTCTCATAATACATGTCTAGGGGTGGGGTTTAGATATCTTATAATCTTTTCAGACTTTGTCCATTACATTTTGATCAGAAGCTTTACAGACATTATGGAAAATTATGTTTTTTCCATACTGTGCCTTGGAATGGAGATCACTTTCTGGCATATAAGTTTCTTCAGCCATAATCTATCACAACCTAGTTATTTTACATCAGTATTTTCAGTAAGCACATGCAATATGCCACAGCATTACCAAGGATATTCAAAATTAAGCACTGTCATTCTTTTGTCTTCCTTTCTTTTCCAAGCCAGTAATGATTTTTCACAAACATGAAAGGGTGTGGTGTAGATAAATACGTTAGTAGAATGGCAACTATATTTTTATCTTTACTGGAAAAAACTATGTGGCTATAATGAATAGCTGGGAGTGATGAATACCATTTATTACACAACTTGTCATGACTTTTTCCAAACCCTAATTATGGGCTAACTTATTTTCTGCAGTGTTTACTGGATTGGCTTGATTGTCTTGGTTCATGTACAAAATATAACACATTCATTTCCAAGATGAATAACTTTGTAACTTATTAAAAACTTCTTTTGTCTAGGGGATATAAAAATTCAGGAAATATTGCAAACTATTAGTCACTGTAACAAGCTCTAAATATGATTAGAAAATCCATTTTGCAAGTGTAATCTATTGATTTATACTAGAAATCTGTGATAACTAAACTATCAGGAGTCATCTGCTGATTACAGCAACTATGCTGGTTTTCTAATCATATTGAAAATGTGTACACACAGAACAAATACAGAAAAGCCTCAGCAGACCTCTAGTTTAAGCAAGAAATAATATTTTGCTGGTGTTCAACCATGTTCAAAATCGTTCTCAGCTAACACAGGGTGCATGGGCAGCAACACGGATTTTATCACCTAATTGTTGTAACCTTGGTGGATCTGCTATGGACAAAAGTGTCAGTAACACATGATCAGGTTTATTATATTGTCCTACAGTGCTGGCTGCTCTGCTAATTTAATAATGAATTGTTTTTAATTGCATTTTTCCTTAGCTATAGGGAGGTGGGGAGTTTTTGTGCTTATTTGTTGTTGTTTTTTAAACATCCAAAGTCCTGTTTTGAAGAGTGCCAAAAGAGCTGAGAGTTTGGTGTCAGAGTTCACCTGCCTCTGCAGCAAAACTTCTTCCAGAACTTTTTCTCCCTGTCTTCCATTAAGGAGTTCCTTGCTCCCTCCAATTATGCTGATCATGGAGCAACACTCTAAATCGGGTTTTTTAAATTACCTGGGCTGAACATAGTTGGTTCCTGTCTCTTCTTTGGAGTTTTAATCCGGATTATTTCAATGATCTTTTTTTATAATGCTACCATTCAGAGAGATGCTGCTGCAAACCATGTCACAGATTGAAATTACAGAATTGGAGATGGGAATGCAGAGGGCTTTTCTCAACTGGCTTCCCTGCCAAAACTTCAGAGACTGTTGAATGTAAAATACCAGTTGCTTATTTTTTAGCAAAGCTACAGATACAGCTATGGAGTTTCAAGGTACAAACCATCTACTCAAAACAGCACCACATTCACTCACTCGATTCAATCCGAAGAGAAACCTGGTCAAATATGTTTGGATTAGTTGCAAGTCCTACAAAACATTTGATTTAGTGTACTAAGAGAGCTCTTAGCCCTCGTGGCTGAAAACGTCCTGCTGCTGCACCTGTTTCATGCCAGATACTAGTTTGTTATACTGAGCAATTCAGTATTGCCTATGTGGTACAGCTATCACACATGGCAAATCATCATCGCTAACCTTTCGAAGTTCAGCCTCTGAATTGGTTAGGGTGAAAAACAAACACATAGATACCCTCTAAGCTTTGTGGCCTACAGAAGGACAACTGCAAGTGTAGTGCTGGTAACCAGAGCGCTGCAAGTCTCCTGATACATGTGTTTTTAAAGACTTGTTCCTAGGATTGCTAGTAAAAATAACAGCTTTTTAAAAACTTTCTGTCCCACATGACTTCTGAAAGAAATTTGGGGATTTGAATGCTGCCAGGCTTAACAACTTCAGAAAGCAATAGCATGTATAACTGCACAAACTATTTAATATAATCTCATTTTAAGGCTAATTTGGAGAGGGATGACTTATTTAAAATAAAATTGGGTATTATTATTATATAAGATTTGGGTTTGGCAGTACTACAATGTGTCCCTAATAACCAAGATTTCTAGAGGTGTGTTCTTTATAACAGAATGTAATACCTCTGTATGTCACACAGTAAACTTTACTTTGTGGGTGCACATTCAGGCCACAAGGTGGAAATAAATGAGATTCTGACAGTGTATAAAGTTATCCGCTAGCAGACTTGATAGTTTTGTCAGGTCTTGGTGAAGCTGTTGACATTAAGAGTTGTAAACTTTTTTCTTCTTCATACATCAGATAAACTTTTGGAGCAGCTAAGGAAAAAAAAACCACACATTAATTTGTATGAATAATAGATATATGCCTTGGGAGTGATATTGAATATTAATGAATTGTGTTTATATTCAAGCAGCTCCTCTAACTCTTTTAAAATTAAGGTGCTGTGAATATGGTTTGGCAATAAAAACTTTAATACTAAAACCATCTGAAAGCACCGAAAAAAAAGAATCTGTGACTGTTCCTTTGCTTTGTCAAGTACCTCAAAGTTTTTTCTTTAGTCATCTATATTTATTTAAATTTCATAGTTTTGAGAATTTTCTTTTTATAAATGTTACAGTAACAGCTTGATTTCTTTTCCTGTGCCTAACTATTGATGGAAGAAAAGGGTGTCTTTTCATAACCATAGCTTTTAAAACAACCATGAACATCAGACCTTCTCTTCTGAAGCTGTATAATTTTAGGCAGTACTAAAATGTCACTTTTAGAATTAGGTTCTAAATGTGGCAAAGTAAAACCTTTGGCTGTTTTCTAAGTTATTTAAAAAAAGAAATGGCCTGATTGCTTCTTACAGAAGTACAGTATTCAGACAGTGTTGTTAATGCTGCTGCTAGGAACGAGAACAAAGACGGCCTTACCCTGAGTGAACTCAGCTTGGGCTAAATGAATTTCCCAAAGACTTACATTTGGAATTGTGGAGCTTGGTATTAGCAAATTAAACCACGCAGGAGTTGTGAGTCCTTTGCAGCATCCATCAAGAAGCATTTAGTGACTCCACAAGTAAACAGAGAAAGCTTCTATAGCAACAGAGTGCATTTCTATGCTACAGGAGGAAGCATTCAACCTCTGCAGAGTTGGGAAGCTGAGGCAGGACAGCGATCCATCCCTGTCGATATGAAACCTATATAGCTGGAACTGCTCTTAAGGAAGCCATTTTGTAGTTTAGTCAAATAGCCTTTGATTCAGGAAACTGCATAGACCATGTTCTGTGCTCATAAAACAGTTTCAAATATATAAATACAGAGCAGCTTTTTTGCAAAGTAAGCTGGAGTAGATGAAAAGAAGTTTTAGTTAACCAAGTAACTAAATGACAGGGTAAATTTCTAATAATAAATAAATAAATAAATGAAATTAGTCTATCAAAATACTATTGAATAATCTGATCATAGCTTTAAAAGGCTATTTTTATATTGGATATTTACTGCTAATTAGGTCATGCATGTAACTGTTTAGGAGCTCAGGGATAGTGACAAGCAGCAGTTAGCAGAGTAATACTCAGCTGTGGGAAAAACAGCTTGGTTTTCCCTTTATTGACAAAATATTGATCCATAACATTATTAATGCTATGATTGTCAGTTCAATTTGGATAGATCACTTTACCTCGTGTTCTCAAACGGCAAAGATATTACCCAAAAAAGAGTGACCTGATTTCAGTTTAAGAAGGTTAAAGGTTAAAGGTTAGCTCAAAAGCATCATCTGCCTAGCTGCTTAACTTTAAACTGATCAATTTAATGAAAATCTGTTTTGCAGATGGTGTTTAATGTCTTTGGCAGGATTTCGGCAGCTTTAACATTAGACGTATGCTAGTAAAAATTATTTCTTTATTTGACCAGAACAACACCTTTTCTTTTATGTTTTAAGGTAAAAGGCATGTGGGATATGGTATTTGGCAAAGAACCCAGAAGCAGAAAGTGTTGATGATCTTTCCATATGGGCTGAAAAACAGAATACCTTTATGTCTATTGCTAACGATGACTGAAAAAACAAACAAAGCTGTATTCATTTTTGCCATAATGTTTTATTTTGAACACATAAAAAATAATTTCAGTCAGAACTGTCCTTGCAAAAAGCTTGTCTTCTTTGCCTAGAGCACAATCCAACAACATTAACATTTTTAACCTGGCAGAGCATGATGATTTTCTCTTTCAGACCTTGTGTTTGTTGATCAGCAGTATTCTTTTTCCTGCTCACAAACTGAGTAGTAATTGTGTTACTTAGCTGTAGATATCATAAATAATAAGGCAAATTATTGAATCCAAATTGTAAGTTTTATCTGATGGAGGTTGTCTGAATAAACAAAGAATTATATCCTCAGGAGTGTAAAACAGAGCTTTGTGTTTATGTCTTCAGAGAATCTGGCCTTCACAGTTTTTGCCAAGATAATTAACTTTCAGCACAAGCACGTCTTTCTGCTTTCAGATGTATGCAATTCAATAGGAATTTCTTGGGCTGCTAATGCAATACTATTATATGTTAGCTTTCTAATTAACCGGGACTCTATCCCTTTGCTGAAATGCATTGTAATATTACACACACAAGCATAGCTTGCATGTAGCAGTCATGAAAGTGGTGCCCTTTG